ACCCTGACAAGGGGGATGGTCACGCTGCAATCCCTTCTTCTCCATTTTCTTCCTAGGATCTTGGGCACACACACATGCACGCAGCGTGAGTTTCAAGCCACTGGGTCCAGGACTTTTACTGTGGTCCGCTGTGTGGGAGCCCAGCAACATAACCGCTATACCATCTGCTGGTCCCCATTATTATAAGTTTTAAATTTGCTACAGGGCACATGCATTCACCAGAGAGAGAGAGAGGGAAAGTGAGAAAAGAAGTTGCCAAACCTGAGACTCAACCACAGTCGGTACTCTTACAACAGTTAGCTGTGTGGGAGTCCAGCACCTTAACCACCATGCTATCTGCTGGCCTCAATAAATGTTTTTAAATAAGTTTTTAAAGATAGTATTCTAAATTCATGTGGATATAATAGAAGTAATAATATTCAACATCTTCAGTTCTTAAGAAATAAGAGAGTACATTAGCTTACTGGGCAGAACTTAAAGCAGAGATGACTTACAGCATTTTTAATATTTTCTACTAAGAACCAAACACAGCATTTCATAAGTAAATAAATTTTGGAAATATTATATGCTTCTATTTTCACCTTAGAGATTTATAATGCATATGAGCCTATTAAAAGCTTTCAGAGGTTCTGTATTACAGAAGCTTAATTAAATTATTTTTATTTGTAAATGTTTTTAATTTATTTTTTTTTTAAAGAGATTTTTCTATAGAGTTCATGCACTCTCCAGAGAGACAGAGAGAAACAGAAAGCGAGAAATCACCCCTGGGGAGATGGCTATACCACAGCCCCTTCTCCTCCTCTCTTTTCTGGATTTTGGGCACGCACACACACCCGGTGTGAGTTTTAAACCACCAGGCCTGGGTCTCGAACCGTACTCGACTATGTTGGATTCGAGCGATATAACCATTACACCATCTGCTGGTCCCATTATTTGTAGTTTTTTAAGTTTATCCAACTACCCAGTTTTTTCCTTCTTCTTTTTTTTTTTTTTGGAGAGATTTTCACTGTAGGGCGCGTGCGCTCGCCAGACAGACAGAGAGAGACATAGAGACAGAAAGCGAGAAATCACCCCCCAGGGGGGATGGTCACGCCGCATCCCTTCTCCTCCATTCTCCTCTCGGGATCTTGGGCACGCACGCACACGCGCCCGGCGTGAGTTTTAAGCCACCGGGTCCGGGACACGAACCGCGGTCAACTACGTGGGAGTCCAGCGACATAGCCATTACGCTAACTGCTGGTTCCCTTTCCTTCTTTTTTAAGACCTGTTTATATCAGAGGAAGCTAGTGTTCCTCCGAACATGGTTAAACAAGTACTTGGCAACATCTTGACGACAGCCACCGTTTGATAGTCATAATATGCTGAAATTCAAGGTTGACAGAATTAACTCTGTTTACATATGCTTAACCATCGTGTGAACAGGGTTAAAATAATCATTTTTCCTTTCTATTGTTCCATTTTTATAATTTTTGCTTTTCTGTTGTTATCTTTTAAGTTACCTATTGAACAAAAATATTAATTTCCTTTTAAAGAAATTAAACTTATTCTTTATTGTTTAGGTTTTGTTTATCAGAAACCAGCTGTCCGCAAGAAGATCACTTCCCACCCAATCTTTGTGTGAAAGTGAATACAAAACCTTGCAGCCTTCCAGTAAGTCCTGAAAACTATTTCTTAAATGCATTGCCAACATAACTATCAAATAAGTCATCACAGCTGTTGTTAATCATAGTTTTTCATTAAGAAAACATTTTTATTTTGGATACATATATTCATGTGACTGGGCGAAACACTTGTACCAACTATGTAGTTAGCAGCTGTGACATTAGCCATAGAGACAAAGTCTAGGATTTGGAGTGCGGTGTGAAAGCTTTAATGTTATTCCAGATTTGGGGGAGAAGTTGCTTCAACACAATCTCCACTGTGTTCTAAGCCTGTGGTAGAATGGAGATTTGAAGAATGCAGTACTTTCAATAGGGAGTGAGGGTGGGGCTGTGTTTGGTCCTCTTAAAAATGCTTCTCTGCCTCTATGAGCTCTTTATGAGTTTGTCCCCATTCTTAAACCTAAGAGATGTTTGAGTTTCTATCACTAATATTTTTCTCAATGTAATGATACACTGTATAAAGTTGTTCAGGGAAATAACCACACAGAAATCTCTAGTGTTTGCTTTTCCACTTTGTAATGAAAATATAAATATTTTCTAGTATATGATTAATAAGGTTTATTTTTTTTTTAAAAAAGAAATGGAAGTTGAGGGACCAGCAGTTAGCGTAATGGCTATGTCACTGGACTCCCATGTAGTCGACCACGGTTCGAGTCCTGGACCTGGTAGTTTAAACTCACATTGGGTGTGTGTGTGTGTGTGTGTGTGTGCGCGCGCGCGCGTGCGCGTGCCCAAGGTCCCGAGAGGAGAACGGAAGCCATCCCCCCTGGGAGGGTGATTTCTCACTTTCTGTCTCTCCGTCTCTCTCTGTCTTTCTGGAGAGCACACACGCCCTATAGTAAAAACTTCTCCAGAAGAAAATGAAAAAGAAATGGAAGTTGAAATGATTATGGAAATCATAAGTAGAAATAAATTCTACTTTATTCCTAGGGCTATCTTCCACCTACTAAAAATGGTGTGGAACCAAAGCGACCCAGCCGACCAATCAATATCACCTCACTCGTCCGGTTGTCCACAACAGTACCAAACACCATTGTTGTTTCTTGGACTGCAGAAATTGGAAGAGTAAGTAAATTTTTGTTTCTACCAGATTTTTAACTGTAAGTATACTAGGGTTAATCACCATGGCTACCTGAGCTTATATGTAAATGATATTATAAAATGAGTTGCAAAGGATTTATTTTTGTCTCACAGTGAATTTTCAGCATGTTCCAGTTTGAAAAATGGAATCGTACAGTATCCTTTGTTTCATAACCTGATCCTTATACCTAGTAATTTATCATGAACATCTTCCTATTTTATAACATGTTGTTCTGCATTATTTTAAATGGCTACATTATATTCTAGTATGAATGAACATGATATAATTTAGCTCATTCCCTATTGTCTAGCATGTATTTGATTTACTGATTGATTAATTCATTTGTATTTCAAGGAACGCTTTGAAGAACATTCTGGTAACTGTGGTTTTGCATATGTGCATGATAATTTCCATAGAGTAAATTCTCAGAAGTGAAATTGCTGAGTCAGAGGATGCAGAATTTTAAGAAATTTTCCTGAAGATATGTCATACACATTTATTTTCTGACTATTGTTTTTTTATATCTCATGCCTGCCAACACTGACTGTTACTTTCTTTTGAAAATGTTTTCTGACTTTATTAGGCCACTAATGGCACTGCTTTGCTTTCATAGTACCCTCACATTACTGAGATTGAACATTAAAAAAATAGTTGTACATATGTGTGGGTCACAATGAGATTTTTCTTCTTCTTCTTTTTTTTTTTTTTTTTTTTGAGAGGTTTTTGGTATAGGGTGCATGCACTCGCCAGAAAGACAGAGACAGAGAGATAGAAAGTGAGAACTCAGGCCCCCCAGGGGTGATGGTCACCCTACAATCCCTTTTCCTCCATTCTCCTCTCAGGATCTTGGGCATTCACGCACATGTGCCTGGCGTGAGTTTAAGCCACCGGGTCCGGGACTCGAACTGTGGTCGACTACATGGGAGTCCAGCCACATAGCCATTACACCATCTGCTGGTCCCCACAATGAGATTTTTCAATACATACATACAATGTGTAATGATCAAATAAGAGCAATACACACATTCATCACTTCAAGCATTTATTGCTTTGTTTTGCAAACATTTGAATCCCTTCTAGCCATTTTGAACTGTACATTTTATTGTTAACTGTGTCGTTACTGAACATATTTTGTAATTATTTACTTTTTAAAATTGTACCCTTAGCTATTCTTCTGTTCTATTTTTCCTTTCCTTACTGATTTATGAGTTCTAAATATGTTACCATTTAACTCTCTGTCACATGTCGCACATATTTGCAGTTTGTTTGCCTTCTATTCTTATTTCCTTCCTGAGCCTATGTAACTATTTATTCATATTTTTTTCTAGATCTTTAAGGTTTTGTGTTTTCTTTAAATATTGAGTCCACCTTAAGTTTATGTGTGGTATGTCAGGAAAATTATATACCACTGTTATATATTTAATTTTACATACTCTACATGTGTTTCTGAACTTTTTTCTGTATTATTTCTTAGTCTAACATTTTTTTCTGGGACAATTTAAAAAAATCCATTCCTTAAAAAAATATTCTATTTAATTGAATTAATTTATTTATTTTAATTTGACCAGAGAGGGACAAAGTGAGAGAAAGGGGAGGGGAGCATATTAGAAAGCAAGCCGCCAAGTCCTGTTGAATCGTGGTTGGTCTTGTAGGAGTCCAGCGCCCTTGACCACCATGCCACCTGCCGGCCCAGGTATTTAGTTTTTGCTATAGGGATCATGTGCTCGCCGGAAAGAGTCAGACAGAGGGAGAGAGGAAGGAAAAGTGAGAAATCACACTCCATCATTGTAGCTTTATAATGTGAACTTATGTCTGTTCACTAATTAATTTGAAACTTAGTGAATGCTTACTATGTATTGTACTCAGTGTTCAGACCTGGGAAAAAGAAAAATGCTTGCCCTCGCGGAGCCTCAGATCTTGGGGCCAGGTGATCACACAAAACAACTTCAACTAATTTATTACAAACACTATAGGAGAGAGTGGGGTGCTTCTTCAGAGTGTGTATGAAGGGCACCGTGTACTAGAGAGAGTCAGGGAGTGAGGGCGTAGTGACTGAGCCAAGAGCTGAGAGTAAGGTAGGAGTTGGTGAGGTGGAAGGAGACCCACTGTGACTAGAGTGCAGATTTGACAACCCTTGGAATGGGAGGATATTTTTATAAAGCATGCCTCAGATAAGGGACTGATAACCAGAATATTCAGGGAACTCCATTTGCTTACTGAAAAAACAATATTCAACCTAATTAAAAGATGGGAAAAATACGGGCGCGTGTGCGTGCGTGCCCAAGATCCCGAGAGGAGAATGGAGGAGAAGGGATTGCACCGTGACCATTCCCCCTGGGGGGTGATTTCTCGCTTTCTGTCTCTATGTCTCTCTCTGTCTGTCTGGCGAGCGCACGCGCCCTACAGTGAAAATCTCTCAAAGAAAAAAGAAAAAAAGAAAATGGGGAAGGGCTACATAAGAAAAGAGGCTGGGGTGGTAAGAGAAGGCCAGACTGTGCAAGGCCTCAAAGATAATGATTCTCTCTAATTAAATTTAAAGGTGTGGTTTTTTGTGTTTTTTGTTTGTTTGTTTTTTACTAGGAGACATATGCACTTGCTAGAGAGAGGGGTGGGTGTCTGTATGAGAAAGCACCCTCCCCCCCAATCTGAGATGGTCATGCCACAATCCTCCATTTCTCCCTCCTTTCAGGATGTTGGGCACACGCACACACCTGGCATGTTTCTCAAGCTGCCTGCTCCAGGACTCTAATCATGCAGGTGTCGTTGGCCAGGTGGGATCCAGCCACTTTAACCACCATACCACCAGCTGGCCCAAGGATTTTGTCTTTTAAGACACAACATTTGCAAGGCCATATTTCTGTTTGGAAGTGGTCACTCTTTCAGAATGGGTTTGAATGGAGACCAGAATCCCACAGAAAGGCCACCTCTTAAAGCCAGCTATCACAGTCCAGTGGATGAGAGGGCGTCTCAGCCTAGAGTGCTGGCAGTGGGCACGGAGAGGGGTGGGGACCTGCTGGAGCTCGCGGTGGGTTGGCATTGGGGCTGAGAGAGGGAGGTGTCAGCGGGTGGCTCCTTGGTTCTTGCCTTGGAAAAGTGGATGGGCAGAATACTACCGAGACAGAAGCACTGAGTTTGGGTCTGTGTTGTTTCGCTTTGCTGTAGAGGTGGGAGCTAGGGAGCATTGGAGGGCTAGAGATAATTATGAGTTCAGTTTTGAAGATTTTGAGTTCAAGATGCCCTGGAGACACCCAGAGTAGGCAGTTGGGTAGATAGACTCAGGGCCTAAGTTTGGGCCGATGGAAAAAATGTGCACAGTTGTCGTTTTTGTAGCCACATACACAGGGCCGGCGCTGCTCAGGTGGAACGTGTGGAGCGGGCGGGGAAGAGTGCCTAGGACCTGTTCTGGGGAACGGTAACATTTAATACTGGGTAGGAGGGAATGCCTGCAAGGGCATGGGGAAGCAGTGGCAGAGAGGCAAGGAGCTGGGAGGGTGAGCGGTGGTATGAAAGAGTTACGAAAGGAAGTGAATGAGCAGTAGTGAACAGGTGTTGAGAGGTCAAGTATGTTGAAGTCTTAAAGATATATCTGTATCTGTCTATAAATAGTATATCTCCTTTGAATTAGGAATGCAAAGGTGACTATTGACTAAGCACGGGCTGTTGTAGATAGCAGGTGATGAGGCAGTGGAGACAGTAAATTAGAGAAGTACAGCTTTGGAAAGAAACAGTGAGCTGGAAGAAAACGTGAGAGGAGACAGTTACTTGTTTTAATGGGAGAGTCTTTAACATGTTTAAAAGATGATGGAATCTTCTTGAAAATAAGAGATTGAATATATGAGGGTACTTCAAAAGTTTGTAGGAAAAACGAGATTAAAGTGTGAGTTCAGGGCCAGCAGGTGACATGAGGTTAAGACAGCTGGATCCCACATGGCCCACTCCTCCGTATGAGTCCCATACCCATGACTTGGAATTCACACCAAGCACGTGTGCATGCATGCCTGCCCAAAATCCCAAGAGGAAAATGGAGACGGGATTGTGGTGTGGCCATTCCCCCAGGGGGTGATTTCTCACCACCTCCCTACCTCCACCACCCCACCACTCCATCTTTCTCTGGTGAGTGCGTGTGCTCTCTATCACAAAACTTGCACACGCACTTGAAACCCATGCATAGTTTGTTCGTAATATGCCTATCTTGCGTAACTTTTTGAAAATCAGTGTCTTCAGTGAGACCATTGGGTGAATTCACCATAGTGAATTACTTAGTTGGAAGAACTTAAATTGGCTAGTAGGGAATAGCCTCTTTAATGGGAGAATAAAATGACTGGATACCAAGTATGTGATTAGTACTCGAGGGGTATGTTCTGGTTTGAGGGATTCTCTGTGAGATAGGACATGTGAGGGTAAATCAGCTGGGGGAGGAATCTCTAGGGCTTGGAGGAGAGTGGAGTGAGTGTTGGGAAAGGTTACTGCTCTATTTTCCACGTTCATGCCTTGAACTGAGCTGTGCATTTAACTTTATCCTGTTCCCTCTCCTCCTTTCCCCACCCCACCTCCACACCTTTCTGAGAATTTGGATGTCTTTTAAGTTACGGATTAAGTGAGGGAGAATTAATTTATCTACAGTATTTAAGAGATACATTCCAGCAACTGCACTTTTCTGTTTACTCAAATCATCTTTTATGTTCCTCAGTAATTTAATAGCTTTTTCTTATGAATCCTGTCTACTTCTGTTAATTCCTGTGTTGGGTGTTATTTCTGCTATTGACCTTTCCTCTGGTATATTTCCTAAGAATTGATTGTTGATTTATTTAAAATCTATGTTCATAGATTGCTTCCAGTAGTTTATATGTTGATTTCTTAGTATTTCTAAGACAGTTTTGAGTTTAGGATGAAGTGTTCTTAGACAAACAAAGATAATCCTGGTACTTGAGCAACTGTTTCTTGTTCTGGTAGCTAGAACTAAGCAAAACAGTGTTGAGTAACC